ATCAACACATTTTCTCAAAAGGTTGTTGATTTGTCACACTTTGACCCTTTAAGTGTGTTATAGAGTTGTCTGTCCCTAATGTGTCACTGCAGGAGTTGTCTCACCTTGACAAAGACAACCAATATTCTATTATATACTCATATCCTTCTATACCCCAAGTCAGGTGTTAAAGACATGTAGATTACTAAAAAAATAAGTAATTGGTGTTTTTACAAGGAGGTAGCAAATAAACAGCACTTAGGCTGTGTGGTCAGTTTATTGTTGTGGTAATGGTCAGTCATTGTCTGGCATGTTTATATAGTAGAAGTTTGTCACCTTCCTTATAATGACCTGATAATGGTTGAGTCCTATATGCCTGTTTACTGGGTATAGACTTGTAATTAGGTGATTTTATGAGAAACTGGGATTTTTTCTCTCACAGTAATCACTTGTTAATGTAATGATAATTAACAAACACACACACAATATCTATGTTGTTGTACAGTAAACAGCATATTGTTACAGGTATTACCGATATCAGTGTAACAAAATTCATTTTTTTTTAAGATAGGATTAGATGGATCTAAGACCAGAAAATATATATAGCCTTATTGGTTTGATCTTTTTCATTTTACAATAAATTTAATATACATTTGTATGTTTAGTTACACAAAGATATATATTTGTGTTGCTTGTATATATTTCTGTTAATTACTGTCAGATAATTTAAGACTTAATACATATATAGTTTGAACCACAACAATCTTAAATTATTACTCAATATTTTATTGTCTTTCCATATTTGTTTACCAACAAGGATTTCAAACTGGAATATATGTAGACTTATATTGATAATCAGCTGTTTGTGTCGAAAAAAAATTCAGAAATAGAATAATTGAATGCTTATATAAAATTTATAGACATTCATAAAAAATGGCATTTACTGATAATTTACACATATCCCACCTTATCTCTACTAGAAATGATTCTAGCGGAGATTATCTTACTCAAGAGTTAAATTTTTTTTTATGAAAATGAGTTTAAAGAAATTGTAAAATGATGAATTCTTTTTACTGAAAAAGATAACTCATAAATACTTTTTCTAATACCTTTCCAGAAATTGATTTTGAATGATTGAATCATTATCTGTATAATGATTTTATGAACATGAAGATATTATCTTGCTTGTGTAATGTAATAAAAAAGAAAATTTGAATTAGTATTTAATAAGTCTAATCAGAGTAATGAAAAAAAAATAGAAAAAATATTTATTTATTTAAAAAAAAAAAGACCCAAAACTTGACAATTTGTTTGTGTTGTAAGATGTATTAGTTGGTTCCTGGTAGAGTGGAGATGTTTTCCCTCCAATTTTAAGCTGAATGCTGCCCCGAGACAGATGTGTGGGGGCCATGTTGTATAGGAGCAAAAGTATGCAGTCAGGTGATCCCTATTGTGTTGGCTACTCTTTAAACAGTGAATAGCAGCACGCGCTCTGCACAGCAGGAGGGTGCCGACTATTGTTGTAGATGGGATGCTACAATGAATACATGCTCACAAGTACAGCTTATTTTCCTATCCCATTGCAAGCCTAATGGGTTTACAATCAAAGGGGATCTCCGATCACACTACAGCCATTTCGCGTTGGCTTTTCTGCTTTTCGTGTTTTCCTCACTGACAGGTAATTTTTGGGGGGGCCCTTACATGTTCTGAAGTAAACTCCCATATAATCACCTGTTCGCTTAATTTGCGATCCTCAATTTCCCTAATGTAGGCTTATCACCTTTCTGGTCCCCTTTTGATACTACACTGGCAGTGTGCTTGTGTGCTGCCCGACTAGGTAGTGATATGGAAGTAGGGCATACAGCCAAAAGGGAAAAAAGGGACAAGAGGAGACGTTTTTATAGTAGTAGAGCCCTATATATCTTGTGTTAAAAAGTTTTGATGAAATATTCATTTACAGTGAACTCAACAAGAAGATATCAGAGCTAGTGTAGGCATAGTCTTATACATCATTATGTGATACTTTCAAACCTAATGCTTTACTGCAAAAGACCATTTTGTAGGATAATTTCTTGAATCAAGCAAATTATTTAAAACTTGAAAAGTAACATCACAAAATGAAAGCAGAAGGTGTTGCTGTAAGGGAAAAAATCATTTTAGAGCTCACATAAAAAACAGTATCTCAGAATGCTACAGCCACAATTGCAGAATTTAAATGGATTTCAGTTATAAGATGATAAAATCTGTTTATCAGCCTTAATCTAGTCTGTCTGGTGTAATGTCCATTTATACAGCTATACAGATTTCAACCAAATATTTCTCAAGTTATCAGAATCCTTAAATTTGCCACAAGTTTGAACCACTCCCCAACTTACTCCAAATTTAAAATCCTGTGGCACCAAAATTTGAACTCAAATCTCTTATCTCTCAAAATTAGAATCCTGTCGCCTCAATTTGGATTCGTCTTGCACCAACACTGTATCCTGCTGCCGTCAGAATTGATTTTACTAAATGTATCATGTTAATGTTTCAAAGAGGAAATTTCATTTTCATTGAAGATTAGATTGTATATTTTGAGAGATTTATTTTCTCGTTCCTTCTGGACATAAAGTTGGAAGTCTAAAAAGCTTTGGCAAAATGATTAATAACAATGATTGCTGTTAGATTATGTTTTCTGTTGGACATCTTCATAGATATCTGTGAGATTTGTCTTTACAGTCAAACTACAAGAATATCTATACATGAAAATACTACTGTCAAAGTGTTAGCAGACTTAAAAATATTGGAATAAATCTTCCTATTTATGGTATTTAGTATAATGTATGTATGTCTACACATGATTGCTTACTTCAATAAAAGAATACACATATGATCGAATATCAATGATCAGCAATGAAATTCCAGAAATAGATCAATTAGAAATTAATTTCTGATTTCTGATATTTTTTCCTTCTCTCAGTTTCATGGAACCGTTATTCAATAATACCTTCATTTCTAGTTTGTTATCATAATTATTTGGATCAAGCCATGCATAAAGGAATTAAGTTCTGAAGTTGTACCGGATAATCTGTCTATGAATACTTACCAACAGATCTTAATGGTGTTCTACATTGTAAGTTCACCTTTTACCGTTTTCCAGCATCTTCACCTATAGTATCAATATCATTTGTCCCCTCTTTATCGCAATTGAAGATGGTCGGAATGTTCTTAAATTCCATAAATGACAACTAACTGTAATCCATTTTGTTTCCGTTAAAAAGAGTTGAAATGAGAACTTTGTAACAGGTTCTTTGGCTCTCCTGAAGCAGAATGGGAATGATACGGGTAGTTCATTGGGGCGTAACCAGTGCCCAGTGAAGTGTGGCCAGGTCTTGTGTCTGGCCTGTAGTAGATTTCAAATTGTCCTCACCAAAAGCAGGAGGAGTTTCTGTCATGCTCCAATGACCTTGCACAAAAAGTGTTCCCTCCAGTTTAGGGCTAATAATGTACCCCAGCATACAAATCATACTAGCATTGTCGGATGAAGACGTTGTAGGATAACTCTCGGCATTTATAAAACACCTTTAGCCACACAGACCTCACATGTTCGCACTGAAAGGATAACACCAACATGAAATGAATGAAGGCGAAACAGTAAAGTGCTTATTTCACAAAACAACTGTTAAAATGTTAAAAAGCTTCAATCGTTGTTATCAGCGTATCAATCTATCAGGTATTGTAAACGCCATTATAGATGATCCGTTTACACAGAAATGGTGGTGAATGTCAGAATCGTCATTTGAGTAGTGGGTGATGATGATGAACCGATGCCCTCTGGTGGGCGTCTTTTGAACAGATATCATTTGTCATGAAAATCTCATTGACCAATGAAAAATAAAAACCAATTCTTCACGGTACGCAATGAGAATTTAAACGAAATTTAATTTCTTTTGATATAATCACCATTGAAGTTGGTTTACAATGAAGATGATGTCAATATAGAATGACCGATAGGGTTAGTTAGAAAGTTAATAGATTCATTGTATCAATTCAATGTCCAGTTTGAATATATAAATAAAGCAAAAGCTGACCATCTTGGATCTATAATTGATTGATACGTCCCTGTGCCTAGAACCAATCAACCATTGTCATCTGCTTTTCAGATACAGATAGAAACATGCCAGTATTAATGCTGTACTGTTTAAATTGATCATCAGTACTGAATTGAATCTGACAATGGATGAAGGAATTACATCCTAACTGACCATCAGTCATCCAAAAACACTGATAATCAGTTGACCGTTTGATGTACGACTTATCCACTCGAGTTGTCCAGACTCTTTACTTCTACCTGTCAGTCCATTGGTCAGGCGGTCAACTTCAAACACAAACAAGCCACAGTTGTAATTGATGTAAATTGAAGAGGTACATATCATTTCAGTCACTGACTAGGTTCCTGACCTCTGAACTTGGGCACACGCTATGAGCAGTTGGTGTATAATAATTATTGTAGAACATTTCGGCTTTTGATTGAGATCGAATGAAAAACGACCACTGTCACCTGGTCATTAAATGGTCATCTGTGATGCATGTACAATTCTAGGTGGCCACTGAAATCACACAAACGAGAGAAATTTTTAAAAACTTTCAAATGAAAACACATGCCAGGAACTGTCGCTGTGTCTTCTATTTAACTGATACCTGTGTAATTTGTCTTCTCTGATTGAAAGCTGAAGGCATCCGTCAAAAGAAAAAGAGAAAATATGTTTTTGACAAGTTATCTTTTTTATCGCTGTCTTTACTTTTAAAGAGAATACGGAAAAATAAAAAACCCCAAATCTTGTCATTATATACCATTATTATGTAATAAAGTTCTGAAAATCTATGGTATTGGTAACTATCTGTTAGTAGAAGAATTGTCAATTATTTTTGGCTAAAAATTTATACATATGTAGGGTGACCTTGAAAGTTACAAGTGTGGCACTAAATTTATCAATATGTTAAATTAAGATTAATATTGTATTTGTGTTTCATTGTTTCAGGTCTGATCTCCTACACAGAGTACCTGTTCCTGCTATGTGTCCTCACCAGTAAGTCCACATGGCTATTGTTTTAATATTTGATGATTTTTGCACCATAAGTTTGAACATTATTTAACAAGGAATGCAGTTTGCATGCAAAACTGTGATCTTACATTGCTCAAACATCTTCCTCTAAAGAACAAAAATTCCCACTTTCAGAATTTTCAAGTGATGACAAATTTTGTAAAACAGGGTCAATTGACATCTAAATTACTTCCTTTGTTGTTGAATGGTATCGGAATCAATGTGCAGAAATACCTTTTTTAAGATTTTAAAGGGAAGGAGGGGGTGAATGAATAGGTGTAGCTTTGTAGTGAAGGATAATAGTCAGGCAAGGATCAGACCCCCTCAAAACAAGTGAATTAGGATGGAGACTATTTTCAACCCTTCAGGGTTTAGAGGGAGCCATCAGTATTGGCTGGCCTACGCAACCTACATGTGAAGATGTTGAGGAGCTGTAAAACAGAATAATCTGTGCTTTCATAGTTTTGTCTTTGGCAAGACACACCTCCAAATTGTTCTAGGTTGACATACTAAGGGCCTCCTGTATGTTGTTCATGCGATGAGGTAGTCACCAACAACTAAAATGTGACCTCTTCTCAAATAAAATCCTGGCTGTTGAAGGATGATAACCCAGCAAACAGACAGCAATAGGGTTAGAAACTAAGAGTTTGGGGAGAACAGGGAGAATCAGTAATGGGAAAGGGGAGGGGGGCTGTAAGGAATGAAAGGGGCAAAAAATGTACAAAGAAGGAGGTGGGTATGTGAATGAGTAGAAAAAGCAACAGACCAAGAATGTAGGGACCACAAGTCAGTGGGTTTATGGGTTATCAGTGACAAGGCCTCAAATTGTTACAAAAATATGGTGCATGATGGGAGATTTATTGAATGGAACACCCATGTACAATTTTGGATGGCTGTTGATAATGTGTCGTGGTAGTAGCCACTGATCCCTATATATACCAATGATAGTAACTCTGTAGTAATGTGTTAACCAGCTCTAGTGCAGCTGGGATGGTTATGTAACAGAAATTTCAAAAACAGATCATATGTATTTTGATTTGATAGATTGCCTTGAGGCCCGATTTTACAGATATCCAGAACTTTTTCACAAGAAGCTGTAATGATTGTCAGCTAGACATAGTGTGAAAACACATGTAAAAATGTGCTTTAGAAAAAAAGGAAATCCAAAATTAACTAAGAGTTCAGATGTAAGGGAAAACACTGTAAAGGAGTATTAAAAAAGAACAGGTGAATCAACTTATCATGCTGCCTCCAGATCATTCTATTCAAAAACAAATTTAGATATTAATGCTGGAATTTGTTTTGAATCATTTGGACTAGAAATGCACTTTAAGTAAGTGGTAATTGTACTTGATGTGTAATAAAGATGTTTTTGTTTTACTTCATTATGCTATTTATTGCATCAGAATTATTCAATATGGATCTTCTCCAGACTGACTTTATGTAGGGCATGAACATTTGGCTGCTTTCAGGAGGGTTTCGTTTTGGAAAAGTTACTCTGTATTAACTCGGATACTGCACATTTTTTAAATTTTGGAACTAATTAAAAATAAGGAAAAAGATTCAGTCAGTAATTAAATTGATAATAAAGATCCTGGATCTTTTCCTATAAGAATATAGAACATGAACAACTTGTACATGAAAAGTGTGATAAAAAGTACAGAAGAGATGCAGCAACACTCAGCTGATAATGTGTTAGATAAGAAAAAATATAGAGATTTTTTCAATTGCCTAACATCGCAATCTCGCATGATCAACCATAGCTTTATTCAAAATATTAATTTTGATATTTTACATATAACTATTTGATGTGAAAATATTGTTTCTTAATAAAACTAATTCAGAATTCATTTGAATAATTAAGATACACTTTTCCTTGTCATTCTTTGTTAATTCTTCCATTCACACATTTTCCCGCCTTGCAGATATTTCTCAATGAATGGCAGAGAATATTTTTTGATTTGATTCATACTTTGGAACAATGTCGTGGAAGCCAGTGATAAATTAGCTGCTAACGTGGGTAGAGTGCATCAATTACATTGCTGGCTGGTTTTAAATACTTGTGTTTATTTGTCATTAAAACAGCCACAAAGAATAGGTATAAGATTAATGGTCTGGAGTAGGGCCTGAATGCTTGTGTATCAGATTACTCTGGACCATTGACCATTCCACACAAACACCAGTGGTCACTCATCTCGTCCTCCCTCCGCAACCTGTTCAGGATAGCCACTAGTTTTGTCCTCAAGATTCCATTCACCCCGCAAAAATTTCACCGATTTTTATGAATTGTTTAAATTTACTCCAGATCCCATCTGTTCCTTTCTACCGAAACTGTTGTTGCGTCCACTGTCCACTCATGTCCACCCACGTCTGTAAACCACCCCTTAATGACCTGCTGCTACTGTTCAGGTGCTGTCACTAGTGGTCAAATCTTAGCACAACATACCCTACTCCAAAAATTTTCAGAATACTGTTTGGGCATAACATTACAGAAAAATATTTCTTTCATAATCTTTTAAACCATTTAACTGAGATTTCAAAGAATTAGAGATAATCAAGTTTTGTGATTTTTTTTTTAGAAAATCCAACTTAAATGTTATAAAACAGATGATTTTTGAAAAATTCTTAAATAGTATGTGTAGAGTGGTTGAAAATTGAACAGAAGTTATACCAAGTAATGTTTCCAAAATTTGGTGGTTAGGATGGTGAAATAAAAGTAAAAATTGTAAGCTTATAGGATCATGAATGGTGCAGGGGGTCAGGTAGGGTGGGTGGGGGGAGAGTGGAGTTAGAGGTCTGATGGGAGGTAATGGGTACCACAATGTGAGGATGGGAGAGACAGGGTTCGGGGGAGAGTGGAGTTGGAGGTCTGATGGGAGGTAATGGGTACCACAATGTGAGGATGGGAGAGACAGGGTTCAAGGGAGAGTGGAGTTGGAGGTCTGATGGGAGGTAATGGGTACCTTAATGTGAGGATGGGAGAGACAGGGCTCGGGGGAGAGAGGAGTTGGAGGTCTGATGGGAGGTAATGGGTACCTTAATGTGAGGATGGGAGAGACAGGGTTCGGGGGAGAGTGGAGTTGGAGGTCTGATGGGAGGTAATGGGTACCTTAATGTGAGGATGGGAGAGACAGGGTTCGGGGGAGAGTGGAGTTGGAGGTCTGATGGGAGGTAATGGGTACCTTAATGTGAGGATGGGAGAGACAGGGTTCGGGGGAGAGTGGAGTTGGAGGTCTGATGGGAGGTAATGGGTACCTTAATGTGAGGATGGGAGAGACAGGGTTCGGGGGAGAGTGGAGTTGGAGGTCTGATGGGAGGTAATGGGTACCTTAATGTGAGGATGGGAGAGACAGGGTTCGGGGGAGAGTGGAGTTGAAGGTCTGATGGGAGGTAATGGGTACCACAATGTGAGGATGGGAGAGACAGGGCTCACTGATGGGAGGTAATGGGTACCTTATGGGGACAAGGTAATGGGTACCACAATGTGAGGATAGAGACAGGGCTGGGAGAGAGGAGGGAGGTCTGATGGGAGGTAATGGGTACCACAATGAGTGGGAGAGACAGGGCTGGGGAGAGAGGAGTTGGATGGGGAGGTAATGGGTACCACAATGTGAGGATGGGAGAGACAGGGTTCGGGGGAGAGTGGAGTTGGAGGTCTGATGGGAGGTAATGGGTACCACAATGTGAGGATGGGAGAGACAGTGTTCGGGGGAGAGAGGAGTTGGAGGTCTGATGGGAGGTAATGGGTACCACAATGTGAGGATGGGAGAGACAGGGCTCAGGGGAGAGAGGAGTTGGAGGTCTGATGGGAGGTAATGGGTATGGGAGGTAATGGGTACCACAATGTGAGGATGGGAGAGACAGGGCTCAGGGGAGAGAGGAGTTGGAGGTCTGATGGGAGGTAATGGGTACCTGATGTGAGGATGGAGAGATTGAGAGAGGAGTTGGAGGTCTTTTGCATTTAGGTGAGAGAGGAGTTATGTAAGTGAGCATTGGAGAGAGCAAAATGATAGAAAGCAAAGTAAGGGTCATAATGTATTGATGGGTGTGACAGGGTGTTGAGAGGGTCAGGTGGGAGACAATGGGACAACTGTGAATATGTAAGTGAGGGTCAAAGGGTTGGGTGCAGAGTGGAGGTGGGGATCGGATGGGAGGTTATGAGGCACCTGAATATGTGGGTGGCAATCAAGGGGAGTGGAGATGGGAGTTGGACGGGAGGTGATGTGCTCTATCTAGTGTATGTGAGTGAGAGTCTTGGTGATGGGAACACAGTGGGGGGGGGGGGGGGGTGGGGAGGTAAGGTGCTGATGTATGGAGATCGATGCTTTTGCATTTAGGTGAAAGTTATGTAAGTGAGCATTGGGAAGCAAAATGATAAAAGCAAAGAAGCTCATTATGAATAGGTCGACTTGATCTAAGGAAACAGGGATATACTCATGTCATGAGATAGAAATAAACATTGAAGGTCAAAGAGGGACAAATAATGATATAGAAGGGTAGGTTAGACAAGGGAGAGAAAGAATAAAGATACCTTGAGGAATACAGAAGGGTAGGTTAGACAAGGGAGAGAAAGAATAAAGATACCTCGAGGAATACAGAAGGGTAGGTTAGACAAGGGAGAGAAAGAATAATGATACCTGGAGGAATACAGAAGGGTAGGTTAGACAAGGGAGAGAAAGAATAATGATACCTTGAGGAATACAGAAGGGAAGGTTAGACAAGGGAGAGAAAGAATAATGATACCTCGAGGAATACAGAAGGGTAGGTTAGACAAGGGATGGAAAGAGAAATTAAAGAATGTTTTAAGGCTAGCTAGGGACATATGGAGACAGGTCAGGACATAGCTTAGGTCATTGTATGAAACAAGGGTCTCCATTTCCCTCTCCAAACTCTCCATTCACCTCTGGAATGGAATGCACTCATTAAAGGTGAGTCGAGGGGACTGGAATGTGACGGCCATATGTTGGCGCTCGATGGAGCTCGGA